TAATATGTTGTATTTTATTTTCTTTATATACTGGAATAGCTACTTAAATATATTTATGTTATTTGTGGCCTAATAAATTACTCATGATTTAAAATTAATCAGATTTAATTTATTTATTTCGGTTCGAATTTCAGTACCTAATTGTATAGATACTAATGTTTATGCTCGTAGATTTTTAAAACCGGAAATTCAGGATTATGAAGATTTACCACAAGTACCTTTGCAAAACAACATATCATGAAATATTTGAACGAGTATATAACGAATGGATCAGCAAATAAAATAATTCTAACTAGTTGGAAATAAGGAGAACTATTTAACTTGCAGGTTTGAAGAATGAAAAAACACTATCCATCATATTGAAACATTTTGAATTTTAAAATTTGTTAGTGAAAAGATGAACGCAATGTTAAAGGGACATCTCAAGAGACTGTAAAATCAAGACGAGCCTTGTACATCGTTCATATTACGTCATTCAGAATCTGCTGATTAAGTTTTAGAAGTGCTATTTGTATTTGTATATTATTTCATAAACTTAGATAAAAATCCATTTTTAGAAAATTTGTCTCCAGTTAAAGTATTATAGGTCTACCGTTTTTGAAATTAATATTTTCATTGTATGGCATTTCCTAGCTAGTCACCATAACATGATAAGTTAACAAATAACTACTAAAGGTAGACGTATTTTACCAGCAGTAAGTGAGGGAAATCATAATTAATTTCAAATACAAATAACAAATATACATAGCATACATAGAGAACTATGTTCCATAGTTAAAAGATCTCTTTTGATTAAGCTAAGCCCAAAACAGAAATTCGATAATACCATGTATTGATGTTATGCAGATAAACAAATTTTCAAAGACATTTACGAAGCCAGTTCTTATTGTTTATGTGACACAGCTGGAATAGTAGTTTACGCAACGATTGCGTAAAGACTATTAACGCGAGTTGCGTACACTACTTTACCTACGACCGTTTTTTAATTACTATCAATCTGGATTTAATTACTAACAATAACTACTGATAACTTTTTAGAGAGGTTATGTTTTCGTGTATTGTCATTGCCACTGAAAGTGATGCAACGACTTGTTGTATAATCAGCTGATTTCCTGTAATCGTGTTTGTTAAACTTCGTTAAATATTACATTGCTAGCAGCCTTCTAACCATAAATAATATTGTATCAGGTACAATTCGGCAAATATTTCATTTATTTTTGGACTTCCACCAACTTAATTAAGAATACGCGAGTATCAACATGAACAAGTCGGATCAACAATTAAATTGGTCAACTGATCAGCTGATCAGCTGATTAGTTGACGTTCGAAGCATTACAATTTTAATTCTTTTCTCTCAATACTTGAACCTCATTGGTCCGTTACCTGTGTGGATATGAGAAAACTATGCGGATATGAAATGAAACTATGCGGATATGAAAGTAAACAGCTGTAAAGTGAAACTTTTCAATTCTAAGAACTGGACTGAAATGGCTACTTTAAAAAACGGTCGTAGGTAAAATATATTACTAAGCTTCATCACTGATCATCTAGGAATAAATGTTGTTTTGTAACAAGGTTGCGTGAGCGTCGTCACCAAAATTAACTGTGGGTCTCCAGTTAGCCTCTTTACACAGTTAACGCTTATTACTCAGCAAAGACCTTGATAACAAAACTGTCATACCTCCTTGATAGTGTCAATCTGTGATCAATTCGAACAATACATTGCACCAGGCATTGATGACAAGGTTAGGTGGAGCATTCATCGAACCCTTTTTTGAAAGGCACTGTTTGAAAATTCACAGCTCCAAAAATGTGTTTTCGAGTGTTCTCTATCTCTATTTTCCCATAGTATGAAACATTTTGAGGCATTTTCTCACTGCACCTTATATTTATCGTTAACAAATAATTGATTGTTGTTTACTTAAAAAATTCTAGTTTTGGCAAAATTAAAATAAATGATTCTTATCATAATCGATTGTCATTACAGTGTAATTATAAAAGGAAATCATTAAACTGTCTGATATCTATTTTACTTATTTAATACGCAAGCAGGATTTTTGTGACAATTACTCCTCCGAAACTACTGAACCGATTGTCATGTTTTTGGTGTCATTGGAAAGAGCGTAACGTGAAGTTGTGCAGGAAACTTTCTGTTTAGGGAAATAATTTGAGAGTGAGGCCCTGGGGCCCTTTAAAGTTTTGTATTTCTCCATAAGTTTAATATGGGAAACAAACATTGTTTTGAAAATCCAGCTGTTGTCAGAAATTAAAAGTGAGAAGAAGAACATATGTTAATTGTAAATAGTCAATAATTTTGCTAGTTTAACAGTTTGCTACAAACATTTACTGACTTGGTTGAAATTAAATATTTACTATTTGAATTAGGGTTGTCGTAAATGTTACAATGGAAAAAAGCGAGAGAGCCTGGATAATTTAATATATTAAAATTAAATTGAATTAACACTGTGCTGCATTTCTTAGTAATCATTGAAAGAGCCGATTTGCAAATTATGGAAACATAGGAAAGTCATAGAAGACCACCAAGGAGAAGAAATAGAAATAATGGTTTTTTTTAGAAATTATAATCCTCATTATGGACAACCGGCTATAATGCGGCTATGAGTAAGGCTTTTTATAGAAAACACTAAAAAACAAGATCAGCTTTTGAAAATGATAAGATAAATACAAGAAATGTTGATTATATTGATCTGTTATGTACATCTTGAGTATTTCCATAATGTTTGAGTCGAATCTATTAAAGTCATCGGAAATTATTACTTTTTTATTTTACCTTCCAACGGTCAAGAACCAATTTACAATAATATGTTGTATAAGATGACTTATTCTAACTTAAACATATACATACAAAAGTATTTTTGACAAAATGACATGCAGTAAGTTTAGTAAATATACAATTTCAGCAGTATCAAAATGGACGTACACAAAGCAAACAACAACCAATGAACAAGAACAAAAAACAAGAATAGTAAGTGAAAATATAAATGAACAACAAACAATAAATATATGAGTTTAAACAATAACAATAAATATATGAGTTTTAACAATAACAATAAATATATGAATTTCAACAATAACAGTAAATATAATTTCAACAATAGCAAAGAAAACAAGATTTGTACCTAAAAAGAGAGAAAACATTCATTGGTTTGAAACAAATATAATAACCGTGATTTTGGGTGGTACTATGATGAGCGGTGGAAGTCAGCCAGCGAATTACTGTTATTCGTTTTAAAATAACGCCTGTAATACTTAGAAATTGCTCGAATTCGAGCAACCGGTACACTAGTACATGTTTAAGTTGCCTTTTTTTATGGATATACCAAAGTTAATATTACTAAATTGTTACTTACTATTTTTTGTCTAAAGATAAGTTACTACGTCTTTCACCAAAAAATCAGCGTTTACTATTTGATCATCTAATAGCAATACAGTTAATCAATGCATACAGTATGCAATAATTGAAAATTATAAGGATCAACTTTTGAATGACAAAGGTATGCAAATGTCATCAACAGAGAGAGCGTTTGTCTCCGCGTATCAATGGAACATTCGTTACATCTCTACAAAGAATTTGTCTTAAGTTTATGAATTCATTTTCTAATAGAAACTCATAATTTAATTTTTAAATCACGTAGTCAGTTTAATTCAGTGAAAAACACAAATAAGTAGCAATACACATAATAAACATAAATACTGAATGCAGATAGCTAGCTTAGTAATATACGTTTTTGTCGAGTAATGTGCAGAATATTTAACGGAAGATTCCTCTTCTTCATAGAAATCATAACATAACCCTTATATATGTTGTTATTATTGAGTTGTGTTGCTTATTAGGATGTCATTTCTGACTTAGACTAAACCATTATAGCCTATTTAAAATAAGCATCAGGTACGCCAGATCATGTTCAAGCCAGAATGTGCTGGAAATAAACATAATTGCTTTCATTAATTCACTGAAAACCCCTTTCTTGAAACTAACTTCAGTAAAGCCGGTCAAAAAGGTTCCTGAGACGAAATATAGATTGTTAAAAACTTTACAAGCATCCTAAAAGTGCCATATCTTAGAGTGTTAATGTAATGTTTATAGCATTTAAATTCCACACAAAAAACTGACTTTTGTTAATGCTTCGAGGTTACTTATTTAAATAATTTCTCTTGTACGAATGTATTTTTGTAGCATATCTAGGCTAAATTGCTCATTGAAAAAAATCTCATGTCTTTTAAACCGAAGGAAACAAATTATTTTAGCCTTAAAATAAAAATATGTTTTGAAAATAAAATTAAAAACTTAGCACAAGCGTCAAGAAAGGAATTTAGTACAGATGTTGGGTGTACCTTCTTTTTGAACATACGAAAAGTCCCCTAAAATTGAAGCTGTGCTACGGCCGCCATATTGACCAATGGCAGCATATTTCTGTACTTTTGGAAATTCTTTGTCCTAGGAGGCTAGGCACGAGCCCGGAATTGTTTTTCACATTACTTCAGGCTAGACCTAGGGGTTACGGCATTATCACTTAGATAAAATCTATTGGTGATTTGTTGGGTTTTGAGCCCGGGACTCCAGGAACCGGAGTCCCGCGCTCTAACCACTTGACCATCTCGCTCCCCCAGTATTTTTGGCTATAGTGGCTTAATTATTAGAGAGAGATACAGGAAAAAGCTTTGTATACAAAATGTACTCCATCTAAAGGTAAACATTTTTGGTATTTATCATTTGTTCCTTGCTTGTGCAAATTTTGTTGGGTTAAGGAATTTTTCGCCTATTATTACTGTTCTATGCTTCTGAGCAGGCATTATCGGAACTTGTTTAAGCATTGTTTATAAAAAAATAGCTTTAACTCCTTTTCTCTTATCTCAGATATATTTTTACAAACAACTTTAATTTATAGATGTTAAAATGTTACTTTAGACATCCCTACTTTCGTTGTATAGCTATATTCTGAAAAACCAGGAATTCTAGTAAAATAAAACACAGAGCCTGTAAACATAATGACTTTATTGGCAAAATATACATCGGGTCCACTCTGGGCTACAGATCAAAACTGTAAAATCGAATGCTGAAGGGCAAATGTTGGTGTCTTAGCTAGGCAAGGCCGGCACGGTAGGCGGCCCCCCGAGCCTCAGGCCTTTATTGCAAGGCCTCAGGCCTAAACCTTTACCACTACACGTAAAGCGGGTCCCAAGCAAAGGTAAAAGGAGAAAACATTGACCAGATAATAGTAATATACACAAGTACATATAGTCAAGAAAATAGTATTCTCATATACATATAGATTTCAAAAGCAACAGTCAATATATATCTTATAATATAAAAATACAACAACTAGCCAAGCAATTTTACAGTCAAACTGATTCTGTTTGAAAATATTTCCAAAAGACGTTACCGAAGTGACTAGACAATCTTTGTTTAAAACAATATGTTTTTGAGTTGTAACTTTTTTTTAAATTGTTAAGTGTTAAATACTCGTATTTATGAGGTGAGTCCTCTATAAACGAAAAAAGTGCATTCCATGGTAGGATAATTGACCAAGTATCACAACAAACACACATAAAATATACTTACTGTTGATTTCTTAAATAATTTGATGACATAAATACACTTCAATTATTTGTCTTAGTTTTATTTTGGGTGTTAACAAACACATAAATTTGATAATGTTTGTGTAAAAAAATACAATTGAAATTTTGAAATTTAAATTAAAAAATATTCGTATACAAGTGTGTGGTTTGTTTAATGCAATCTGAATAACGATGATAGTTTAATATTCTGCACAATTCCTTTTGCAATAGTATCAATTACGTAAAAAATCTGATGCCAATTTCTTAATTGTACTAAAAACACACATGTTAATATTAAAATAAATATCTTAATTACAAGTATAATTTAGAATTCTTACATGAAAAAGTAAGACTCCTTTTAGCATAGTAGTGCGTTGCAAATATTTTTCGAATATAATAAAATTCAAGCTAAACACTAGGCTACATCCCATATTTATAAAAAAATGATATGTTCTCCATTTCTTACACACTAGCTTATCCTATACTTGATATGTTAAAACCACAGACAATATTCCAAAAGTGATATGTAATGATCAGACTTACAGTCAAATGTTTTAAATAAATCCTAATATACTACACATTAGGTGTGGTGTGCGAATTCGGCGTGCATAGTTGAAATAAAAATCTATTCAAACTTTTGCCTCTCTTAGACCCATTTACCTCTTAAATTAGTCCATACAAAAAGCATGTCTAAACTATATAAAAACTAGGTTTTTGTGCACATTTTTAGGTTTCGTTGTAAAACAAATGTACGTATATTTACGAGTAGCGAAGGATCCCATCTAACCTGAATATATTACAAAATCGTTTAAACTATAAACACCCAGACGAGTAGCAAATACTCCATTTGGCTCCAATAAAATCAAGTGCGTCACAGTTTCCAGTGTAAGTGATATTTTTCACCAAGAGACGAAAATACGAAATAGCCTTAAAAACGTACAGGAGGCACCGTACCGCCCTTGCACCTAAATGTACAGGGAAATACTGACGAGGGGAATCAAAAAGTTCCTCCGTAAACTTGGATACACATACAACACGTAAAACTAACTGAGTAAATATATTTACAAAAATACTTTAGAAAAGTGGAATTTTGATGTTTAAAACGTGGAGTGGAGGATTCGGCTCGGCCAAACGGCCATTGGGGCTTTGACCGTGGGGCAGAGCCTTCGCTGCCTGGGATATACATCAACGCTTAACCAACCAGTAAAATATATGATCTATTGAAGTATCTGCAATAAATTGCTTCAGATATCTTGACTCTCTAAATGGTCTACCATTTGGATTCAAGCAAAATCAACTTGTCTATGAGATTTCACTTCTGCTTTACACTTACATAATAGTAGCCTAAACGTGTAAAATGCACCAACAAATATAATACAGCTATTTAAATATTATCTGTATTTATATAACCTTAGGTCTTTTGCAAGAGATGATATGTCTTTGTTACTTCGTGATATGACTTTGAAGGCGCGTATTTAAACTATTCATTAATAGGCTAGCTCATGGTTTCTTAATACATCTATGACATTTTATGCAAATAGTCTAATGCACCATAATGTTGTATAGAATGTCTGATATGTTTCATTTTAAAATCTACGTTTAAGCTATCTTTAGTATAAATCTGTAAACATACTTTATGATATGTCTTTTTACGTACGAACGATTTTAAATGCGCGCTTTTTAAGCTAAACGCCTGTTTAAAATTATAGTAAAAAAACTAAATATTTGCAAAGTTCTTGCGTAATTTCTACAGTCTACTAATCACTGATGCGTCAAAAATTTACGACACGATCAAAAATAGTTGAGAAATACAGGTTTTACTATCAAATATTAGGATTTTCAAAGTATATTTTTCTTACAAACTAAGTGTTGTAAAGGGATCTTAAAACATTAGGTAAAGCACGATTGCTATAAACCAGAGTAAACAAATGATATCGATAAATGTTTATAAAACGTACCCTCACATTGATAGTGTAGCCCAAGCAACGCGTTTTATTGCTCTTTGAATCGCATTACAGAAACATTCTGTAATGTTTTCGTTTCTGTTCCGTTGGTGGAATAGCTTTCATACGCCTGATCATAATATAATACTGTAGTTTTGTTTAACTCTTATATTTTTACTCAAACTCTTCTTATCTCAAAGAAGCCTGACAAACCTCCAAAATAAAATATTTAGTAAATTTTTGCGTTGACAGAGGGAAGTCACTGTCAATTTTGGTCTCAGACTAAGCGGAGACTTCCCAAACTCTAGATACCTAAAGAAATTCCAACCCTATCTTGAATCATAGACTTTTAAACCTAAGATGAGCAGACACAGACATGATTATCTCCACGATGTTTCTTATTTTTGTATAAATATTTTATTCTATGTCTAAACCAAGGTAAACTAAGAGGTCTGCTGTCTGGTCGTCATTTAGTCCAGGAATCCCGTGTTGACCAGCTTCTCCAAGAAGAACTTGACGTCGCCGAGCTCCGAGTCTTTGATGCCGAGGCTCTTCAGCATGCCGAGGTCGCCATTCTCCACTGCCATGAACACCGAGCGGAGATGCTCCAAGTCGGACCTCATCAGATGAAGGGCGGCGCCGAAGTCTTCGATCGTTTGTGATTCTGCAACAGAATGGTGTTCGTCATGATGGGAGATATAATTATTTTCCATTGTTGTTTGAATGACAACAACAATTGTGGCAATTGTGGTTTGCCAGGATGATTGGTGTGAGGACTTGTACCGCCAGGTCCCGTGATGAAATCTATCGTGAGCTGGGTCTTCAGCATCTGGAGACCAGGAGGAACATCGCTGATCTCGTTGTCTTCCACAAGCTCCTTAACGGTTCACTTGACTGCCCTGATATGCTTCACCAGATTCAATTTCGGACTCCACAACGCGCCCATTCGAGAGACCTGTTTGTTAGACAGCATCACCGCACGAACTACGAGATGAATGCTGCACTCATCCGCATGCAAAGGGAGGGCAACAACGTGCCCGAGACTGTCGACTTCTTCCTGGACAGTGTGGCTTCGATGAAGAGGAAGCTTCAACGTAGTCCCTAGTTTGGAAGATTTGTTATAAATATCTATCATATTTGAAATCATTTTGTTCACTATTATATCTAAATGCAGGGATTTTCTTGGCAAGGCTTTTGTTCTGTAAATATAGTCTATTTGTATTGTTTTTTTTTTTGTATATTTCACTATCTATTTATTATTTATGTTATTTTTAGGCCTACATGTTGTTTATTGTATATGTTATTTATTTACACTTGAATCATCATGTACATTCTTATTTCTAAATGCATGTATTTTCACGATTTTCACGATTTTCACTAAGGCCAGAGCAATGCTATATTATTGTTACAAATGTTTTTTTCCATCTTATTTTGTTACATGAATGTAAAAATGGAGTTTGTCCTTTGATATGTAAAATAAATAAATAAATAAATTACCCTGTTGCAAGAGCACATTTTTATTTTCCTTGTATGCAATGTCAACTTTCTATGTATTATTGTCTTGACCAATGGATCTCTTCTGAAATAATTGGAACTACCTGACCGAAAAGGAAAAAAAATCTTTAAGGCAGGGAAAAGTATCTCTGTCTTCAAGAATTAAAGTGTATTTGTGAGAACGTAACATTTACAATGGAAATAGCACATTATAGCAGTAAGATTTGTCACCAAGATTTAGTTGAATAACGTGTATCATTATGATTATTTCTTTCTATCGGTACTTAGCTGACTATACAACATCAAATATGCTATAGTTTACAAAACATGTCCAGTTTAAAAAAACGTAACTGATGGTGTGTAAGATACAAACTGTGTTTGACAGTGTCACACTTTATCAGAGTTTGTGACTCTTTCAACCATTTGTTGTAATTCTAAAAGGCTAACAAAACTTTACAATTTGAAAACTACTCTATTGAATAAAGAATTTCGTTTTGGTATAAGTAGTTGACTTTGAAATGAAATTGTATATTTCATTACAAGAGTACAAAGTGAGTCATTACATATTTGAAGTGCGCGATTTATCGAGCACTTTAAATGGTAGAGAATATGTATAGACCCAATTTCACTCGTGTTTTGAACGTTACTTTTCGTTACACTACAAAGAATAATTATTTTCTTCCTTACAAAACTCATAGAATTTTTAAGGTTATGCCTTTTAAAGTTAATATTTACTTTAGTTGTTGAAAATAGAAACAGTTCATAAAACAATAAAAAATATTTTTGAAGTTGTTGACATGGAAAATTTTCGGTTGTAAACAATGTTACTTTCGGTAGTAAACAATAGACAGCTGTTGAAAATATGATGTTTCTCAGGTTGTAAACGTATAACGAAAACATCTCAACTCAAAGTAGTGTATTGGAAAAGTAGTTTTACATTCCTTAAACAGTTGGAAGGTTAAGGAGGCACATGTCACGGTTACTTATATGATTGAAATCGGATACCGGGTTTTAACCAAAATACGTAACTTTGAGGAGAAAGTTTTGTGAAAAGCGTAAGTACTAATTTGACACTTTCATTTACCTGATAAAGTGATGGCCACCTTATCCACCCCACCTAAAGGAGCCAGTGCGTCTCTTGCCTTGCTGCCAAACAGCTTTTCCAGGTAGTTAGGGCCGTGGCTGGCCAGCAGCGACTGCAGGAAACTTGACGTCTCTTCAACTGGCGGTCTTTTGGCTGTAAAATCACAAACAGCATTCAGTGGTGAATCTTGATTAGTTGACTACATATTCGAAAATAAAACATCAACAGCCTCCTAACTGTATCAAATAAACGCTATTATATAGCGTTGGTTCGATTTTTGGCGTATCCGAAAAAAAATTTAAGCTAATTTTCGTTTGCGATGGAAGAGATTGTTTTACTGTTCAGGATCTTCTTTCCGAGAGTAAATTTAGTAACAAAAAAGATTATCATTATATTTTTACAGGTAGTAATTCAATTGCTAAACTATAGCTATACTCCAATTTAAGTGTGTAAGATGATAACAACATTTTAAAATAGGTTTTACTTAATCTTGCGATTTGAAGGTATAGTCGTTTGGAAATGGAAACATACATTACGTTACGTTCAGCTTATCAAAAAAGGTTTTTATTTGTTCAACCTGGGGATAAAAATTTATTTCTGTGTGTGTCAAGATTTAGTGCATTTGTCAAAATCGATAGAAGTCGACCAACTGATTCTTGTACTTGAAGAGGTTTAGTAATTTACCAAAACAAGGATAGCTGACTTTTAGGTTATTAGTGTTAACGTATATTTATTACCAGTATTTATTTGTAATAAAGACACTTCAAAATTACGAGGCAATGGTTGGGTTGTACGCAAATTCAAACGTAGTATGGTGTATGTAAGTTAAGATGTAAGGAGAGGATGTAACAAAGCTACAGTAATACAGACACATTACCTCAGAACACAAGGGATCTACATACAAATGTACACACTCCTGCTGTGTCGGCCACAACACCGTCCATCTAGTATTTATAGCCCAAGTTGTATAGGTATATACGAATGGTATTCATTACAACTCATCGATGTGATGGAAATGCATTTAGTTTCCAAACTGAAGGGTTTACTTGCCACTCTTCACGTTCTTTTGTAGCCAATTTTAGGCAAAAGGCAGTTTGATAGTACCTCAATTATGTTTATGTTTCCATGAATTTTTTTTTTTATAAAATCATTATCATGTGTGTACCTATGCAATTTAGTGAGTAGTGTTCGTTTCCGGCGTCTTTTTGGAATTAAAGTGACAATTCAAGTAGTTAAACAATGAATAAAGAACCCCAACACTTTAATATTTAATTAATTCAAAACCTTGTTTGCAATTGGAAGAAAAAACATTTGTGTTTTGCTAAAACCATCCCAACAAATATCGAAATATAATAACATTTTTGTATAAAATGTGGAGTTAATAGTGTATGTTTAAAAACGGCAGTCATAATAAGCATGCGATAACTCAAAATATAAATCGTATATTTGTAGTTTCTCACCTTCAATGCAGTTTAAGGAAGTTACCTTGTGGTGAAGTGCAGGAAATAGCAGGTGCCTTTAATCAAAAACAAATCCAAACACAAATGTACAAAGCAAGAATGCTATACAGTAAGATAAGTTCTCTAATGTGTTGCGGAAGTGGGACAAACTACCAACTCAAAATTAAATGGACACAAAATAAATTTAAATAAACAATTCCTTGGTTAGTTTTCTTGGCAAAAAAAATAACATTTTGAATTAACATTAAGTAATTGTTATTACGTCTGTAATCAGCTGCTTGTTTACCAATCGAGATACAGTATTAACAAAACTACGTTAACCTAACGTTGGGTGGAACTGTTTTCAGCTGTGGATCCAATATTAGTCCAACCACGTTTGATTGATAGTTATTGATGGAATGAGATGATTGGCAATCAATTGACCAATCATAACTCAGGACAAACCACTACGCTTGGTATACACCTGGTAAAGTTAGAAACATTCATTTGGGGTTTATGTATGACTTAAAATCCATTTTAAAACGTTTTGAGAAAATAGGGCATTTTTTTATTCATTTAAATAGATAATTGTTTATATAATACTAAGAGTATCTACACATTCTATCCGAGGAGTTTAAATTCCCTGCATCATTTATTTTAAAACTACGGTAAAATCAAACGCCAACAACAAGAAGAACCATACATTGTTAACAAAATAAAAATACATGGAAACTACACTAGTAGAATAATGAGATTATAGTTAGTAACCAGACACAACCAACACAAAGCTAAGTGTTCCATGTATACTAATGTGCTCTAGATGCATTCAGCACATTTGGAATCACTTTGTGTAACAGTGGGTGGGATTTGTATTCTGTGCATGCTCTAAACTAAATGTACATTGAACTAGATATACCAGTGAACAAGATACTTACATTATACTTGTGTGATATATTACTTACGATACACCTGAAACTTATTGTGTACTATTTCTTTAATTACAGTATGTTTTAGTGGGTTACCAGCGGTACAGAGTCTGGAGTCTTCGTCGTATCCGTCCAGACAGTCAGGGGCACCGTCGCAGAGGTACTGGATGGAGATACAGGCGCCATCTCCTGGACATTTGAATGGTTCGTATGGATGGCATGCCTCACCTGGGGAAAACATTCTATGTTACAAATCATGTCAAGCTTTACCTAGCCAAAAATATAATACACTTTAAAAATTATGAAACCAAGAGTATCCGATGTGGGGCGTAATCAGAACGTTTATGAGTAGCTAATGCCTTCTTTGGTCAAGAAAATACCACAAAAGTGTGTCGTCAGGACCTGCTTGACAGAAGAAGGACTCGGTGACTCAGAAAATTTTGGATCACGTTATACTCGGACTACCCTGGTTTCATGGATTCAAAATATCTTATATTAAGTCCTATGTGGCCAGAAATAGGGTCTATAATATAAAATACATAAAATCAGATCCAAATTTGATAGGAAGGTCTCAAAGAATTATAACAGAGTATAATATATACAAAATGGTACCACAATCATCAAGTATGTACAACACCGTTGTTAAATCACGGATGGCAATAATCAAAGTGAAGACACAAACAACATGTATGTTAAAGTCTTATGGTGTTAGAGTGTGTGTGACATTGTCTTTGAATGTTTGACTATCGATATCTTTATTGCAATTACAGCTGTCCAACTGTCATTACAATAACTCCTGTTATGACTCCTACTGTAGGATACTTTGTATGACGTGTATCTATGTCCAACTGTATTTTGAATTAGTAATATGCCAATCACACTCTAACTTTCGTAATCCATTTCTTAGCTTTAAAATTATTTGACAGAATAATAGCAAGATCGATAAGTTTGTGAGGTTTCATGTGCCATCGAAAAAGTACCAGAAAAGTATTAGAAAATACAGGGCGGTCATAAATTATTGTGCACATTTTAAGATAAAATAAATAAATAACCAAGCAACCTAGAAACATGGGAATTGTTTCATTGAATAGCAAATTTAAAACAGTTTTATACAGTAACTACAAAAAAAAAACAATTATAAAAATGTCAGCAATTATAAAAAGTAATTATAAAAAGACTTTAAAAATCACCTAAACTGTTATTGTATGTTCTTCTGAGGGTATGGCCCTTAAGACTATATTTTGGACACTTTCCAGTCGTTCAAATTGTCTATACCACCATTTTATAGAATTTATACACAGAGAATTACGGTTATACTCTAAACGAAGCCTTCTTTGAACAGTTATTACATATTTGCTTTCATGAAACCAAAGACGTTGCTTTTTATTGCACACTAGTAATTTTGTTACTTAATTCGGTTCAAGGTTTGATTCACCAAATGTCATACACAGCTGGTGTAGAAAGGTCCATTGTTGGTTTTGCTATACTAACTACGCCATACCATGGCCATACTATCCATGCTTACTAGGCCACAACACGAGCCTTAAAAAAACAACTTACATTCACTGTTTGAGTGATTTTTGCACATTTTTTATAACCACTTTTTACAATTACTGATATTTATATAATTATTGTTTTCCAGTTGCTGTATAAAACTGTTTTAAATTTGCTATTCAATGAAACAATTCCCATGTTTCTAAGTTGCTTGGTTATTTGTTTATATAATCTTAAAATGTGTCCAATAATTTATGACCACCATGTATATTAGTGTAATCTGTGTTGTTGAAATAGAGTATTTATTTTTTAAAACAATGTTTGCATCTAAATTACGAAAAACCAAAGTCTTTACTTTGCATAAAGCAAGTATACGTCTTATTCTACAGTAAAATGTAAAATTAAACTTATTTTGGCGTTTGTTTAAGACTAAGAACTCTTTTGCGCCTTACCAAATTGCGTTTATAAACTATTCTTTCTAATTTCAGGGTACATTTAAGACGTATTGTTTATTCTTTGCGTACAATTCACGAGAACAAATGGCAATTATCGTATGCATTTTTTATGTAATAATTTTAAAGTTAGTACATGACCTTAAAAATAAAATTAAGTCATCTTCAGGGTCAAACATTACGGATTATAAGCAGACTTCATGATGATATATTTCTATCTATTTATTTCTATTAACCTTAGCAAATCTTTCATAGGTTTAGTTATCTTTAAAAAAGTGTAGCGTTATTTCGTGTTCTCAAATTGCTATCTAGAAATAGAACAACCTATTTAGATCATCATCATGTAATACGTTGAGGGTGGCAAGAGTGATGGGTTCCCTGACATTGAATGATCTGTCTAAAGAAAAGACTAACTCAAGGTATGTTGGGAATGTCACTCACTTGTTTCTCGCCAACGTGTACAGTTTTTGTAATTTCAAGCTAGCCAACCAGATAGACCAGCTAGCTTGATTAGATATCTAGTGTAACTTGATACACATTTTACTAAAAATAACATATTAAGTAGTTAGTAAATATATATTAAGTAACTATATTATCTGGTTCCCACAGTAATTTTAATATGTACTTTTAGAATTTCGTTTCTATTTCAGTTTCCAAGCAAATAAAAACAAATTGCATTTACTCAAACAAAAAAAAGTCATTTGGCAACCAATGTAAATGCATTATAACATTAACGGCTTGTACACCATTCCAAATAAAAATCATAGTTCTTCAATGTTTGAATAAAATCTCTAACCATCCTTTGAATAATAATGGATGTTGATAATATATTAGCAATCAAGTCTAAGTATTATTAGTTTTTGTTCAGAATGTTTGAGTATTAAAGCTGGGCTGCAATAGTGTAGTTGTGTTCTGTTTACAAGGAGTATGTAAAAACTAATACGATCTTAATTACATTTACTACAGTTATTACATTTGCATTATTACTTTAATACATCGAGGTACTTTAATTAATTTTGTTTGACGCAGAGCATAATGTTAACAAACTCCAGTGGATTGCATTCGAATTTCAATAATGAAATGTGAACCTTTTTAATTTGACCATGATAATTATGTTGGCCATAAAAGTATCGTGTTAAAATGTGGTAACCAAACCTAACCTGTTGCAGTGTTAACACATGATCATTAATGAAACATTTGGTGAAAAGTTTGAACGTTACTTTTAATTACAATGATCCTTCCATATTAGTTTACATGATATTATCATGTATAATATATCTAATGATAATACACTGATGAACATTCGAATGTATTTGATTACTAATCATAGTTTAAAATATACTGAGAATAATCCGTTACATAAAATAAATATTTGTAAAAAAATCTAATTGTTAATTAACAAGAGGTTTATTTTGAAAAAGTACAATTTCAAATGAGTTGGATAGCTAAAAACAGTTATTAAAATGAACAACATTTACATCCCAAAGTGTAACCGTTGTACATACACTTTGTCTAAACATACGATACAGTGAAGCTTTTGGGTGCAAACAGCCATGAATTGCATTGAAACATCAACCAGCTGTTTACACGTGTGTACCTAACACACACACACACACACACCAACACACACTGTTTTTGTTTGGAAATTGCATTGTAACAACCAAATAATGTATAAACAATTTACTTGATGTGGATTTTTAGAACGAATATTCTCCTGTTGAGTTAATTGACAAGATAAACTCATATATGCAGAATAAATGTACACTTCTATATCTTATAGTATAGTTTTGTTGTAGTTATATTTTTTCATTGGTATGACACATTTGATTGTTAAACAATAAAAACAACCTTAGTAACAGTTTGTAGTTTGGTATAGCAATGTTATTACCATCCAATGCAGTTATTTCCGGTAACGCATAAAGATAGGTGGTATATAGAATAAATAAGGTTGGACACAGAAGATAGAAGAGAGCCTGACGTCAAGATGATTTAACATGAGATATGCTACAGAAGTTTGTGCTCATTCAATTAAAAGTTGGGCTTATTTTGACTTCAGCAAACTTTTGGCTTGCGGCTAACTTAGCATACATATTTTCTGTAATGAGTCAATCATTGAGTAAAAAATAGGTTGAGAAAGTTTTGATAAAGATATGCCATAGTTAATTTCAATAAATGTTTCACCCTATCATTAGCTCCATAAATAATTTGATGCCAATAAACGTTTTGAAAGGTTATATTAAAATTGTTTTTACAGTTTGAGAACTAATTGATAAAGTAGTCTGTGGCAGTAGTTGTTTTCGTAATGTATCAACATGTATTTATCTTTTTATTGGGGATTCCTATACAATATCTTCTTCTTTGACATGAGGTAATTTAATCAGCATTTTGATGCCCTGCAGATTAGGCCCAAAAAACATATTTTACAACAGACTAAAAATTACAAGACGTTGAAAAGCTACTTCATTCAGTAATGATTACTAAAACATCTAAACAACTAACTTAAGCAATTCTCTAAGAGGATTACTTATTTAATTGGATACAAAATATATCTCTAGGTTTAAGTTTCAACTTATAAGAAGTGCCAATTGTATACAGAAGTGGTTCCCAAAGGGAGGGTTAACCTAACATTGAACATTTTAACCTACGTTCAAAGTTGGAAGATATGTTGGAAGACAACTTTTAAACGATTCTTTATAAAAATCCGTGACTGTTTTCAAATGTACGAACTATTTAGTTTTAGATATTGTACAGTGTTAATTATTTGATACATGAAAAGATATTATACTACAACATTATCCACATAACTTTGGCTATGACCCTTCGACTGCCTAGTGTTAATAATATCTTGATTTTGTAATTGCTTATTGGTTAACCACCTTTAAGAATACATACATATTGAAAAGTATCCATGTAAATTCATTTGGACAGATGGATAACAAGTCGTATTTTGATACACGTTTTACGCTGCAATTATATTGTTTGACAATAGTGTATTTGAGATCGATATTTTTCAAACCTGTACAACTAAATACCAACTCAAAGAATTAGTAACACGTTCATCCAGTATTGAGAGAATTTTTACTCGTAATTTAGTGAGAAAATCTTTCCACTCCGGTGGAGAAAAGAAACATGTATGAACAGTCAGGTCATAATAAATGTTCTAAAGTACCAGGGATTATATAATTTATTTAAATACTGAAAAAAAACTTGACAAGGTAAACAGAAGTTACCGCAAGTAAAGGTGAGTTTTATAAAGTGTAGTCGAGAAGGTCTAAGTTGTTC